AGATCAGACTTTATTACAGTATTCAAGATCTAAGTCACTGAGGAAACATAAAAAATGTCAAATTTATTTTCACTGGCTTCTTAATATGAATAATAAAGCACCCCTAGTGCTCAAAGAAAGGGTATCACCTGGAAAGGCACATTAAGGAACTTTCTGGAGGAAGAAAGATCTATATCTTGATCTGACTGGTGGCTACAATTATACAGACATAGCTATATGCATATGTAAAAATTCATTACATCTTAGATCTGTGCATTTACTGAAAATACCTCACTTTTTTAAAATGAGATTTAATAAAAGGCATTCCAAAGAAATTTGTCATTATCCCAAAGCAAATGATGTAAGAAGAGTCACATTTTTGTCTTTTAGTAAAGAGAACTGAGCATGGAGCAGTAAAGCAATGTCTTTTGGTATCTCAAAATCAGTAAGAAAAACAGGTCTACCAACTCTGTTCTATCATCGATCTAACCTTTGTGCCTCACAGACAATCAGATCGTATCTTGAGATTCTTCTATTGGGTGAGAAAAGAGAATAAGGAAACAGGGCAGAACCAAGCCTAGCTCAGTAAATCACCCAGAATAAAGCTAGAAAACCTAAGAACCAAATCAATATCCTCTCCATCCCCAAACACCATATCCTCATTCTCAAAAGAGAAAACTGTTTTATCTAGAACTGGTTGTGAAATAATGCAAAGAATGCAAAAGAAGTTCTCAGGTTCACACCCCTCTAAAAATGATCATATTTCAACCTCTTGCTTCATTCTGTAGTTTTTCTAAGAGTGTTCTAAGGCACTATACTCCCTCACCTTAACTTCTGGCCATTTGCATGTCTAGATTGAGAAAGTGAATAGTGTGTAGATTTGGTCTCAATGGACTGAGATAAAGTGTGGATCTGAGTTCACAGGTGCAAAATTTTAGAATTGGACTAGCTCTGAGCAGCCATTTATTCACTGAATAATGAAACTAAATCCTAAAATGGTTAAGGGACTTGCCTAAGATCTCACAACTATTAAGTGGCACTGTCAAAGCTGAATCCAGTCTTTTATTCACACCACACCTATACCTCTGCCTAAATAGAAGCTGAATACTACCTTATCTAAAGTGATCATTACACTCTGGGGAAAAACAGTTCATATTATCCAAATTCTCATACCTATCTGTCCCATAGCATTCACATTTTAATTAATTTATAATCAGAATTATAACTGTCAACTAGATTAGTCAGTACCTTCTTATCTCAGCAGTAGAATCCTCTTGGTAAAATGAAATAATGCCAAAAGTTTATTTGGTAAATAAATAATCAAAGCAAAAGAGATAAATCTTTTTAAATAATATATGCAGCAAGTTCTTCATGGCAAACCATCTTACTTTACCAAAGACTTTCATACGGTCATTGATCCAGTCAGCAAACACTGAAATGTCTACTATGTGTCGGACACTGTATTAGGCCTAAGGAATATAAAGAGATAGATGCAGGGTATTTAGATAAACAATAGAATGAGGTAAGGGCAAAGACAGACTGAACATCCATCTGTAAAGCCCAGAGGAGCAGCATCTATTCTAATCTGAAAGGTCAGAGAGGTCAGACTAGCTTCTTACTCTCCCAGGCAGAAATATATGCTCCTGTAAGCTCTTGAAATAAACTGTTTTGAACAATGATCTCTTATTGACATAGAAATCTCAAAAATCTATGTCTGAAGCAAAAGAAAAACATTACAGTACTATCCTACTTATATAACTATGTTATATTTATATATCTACATGTGCATATTTTTTTAAAGAGACATGTATGGAAAGGTAATTCCAAAAACTTTAATAGTAATTATCCCTATGGCATGGAATTTCAGATTGTTTCAATTTCCCTACACTTTTCCACATGAATTTTAAGAATACTCCTGTAACGTACATCTTTATTCTGCTATAACCAAGGTGAGTGGGGTAGGGCAAGCCCCCCAGGAGTCTAATAAACTGTTACTGTTCTTACACCAATCTGTCTCCTCTATTCAGAGCAGTATCTGTCACATGGGGGACACCAATGCAGCACACATTTAAGAGATTTTCATTTACCTTTGTGGAAAGGTCACTTCTGGGAAAGTTTCTGGAGAAATAAGGCATATGGGGACTAAATCTTAACAGGTTTTAACTGCCATGCTAACGTGCTTAAACTACATTCTGTGGGTGACAGAAACACTGATGGGTTTTTGAGCTAAGGACTAACAACACCATTTTTTACTAAGCTATCTCTGGTAATACTTATAATACATAGATAGGAAAGGGAATAAAGGCAACAAGATGTGTTAGAAAGTTTTGGCTATATGTTTTTTAAAAAACCTAGAGAAATGCTGTCAAATTTTTATCAGTAGTGTGTTTGGTGGATGAGAATACAGGGAGGGAGTTTCCCACCTTCACTGTTAGACATTTCTATTATCCCTAAACTTCTTAAAATAAGTATTATATGCAAAAACAGGAAAGATAAGAATGGCTATCATAGTAACTCAAAGAGGGTACAGGGGAAATAATGAAAGCTTGGATTATAAACTCCATAAGGACAGGAAGTAGATCTTATTTACCACTATATCCCCAGTACCTTATACAGTGCTTAGCATCTATTGGGGGCTCAATGAATGTGTCAGAATAAATGAAAGAGTGAATGAGTGAACAAATGAATATCTTAAAGGCTCAATGAAGAAGAAACATTTCAGAAGTAAAATATACATTTGTTGATCAACATAAAGGCCAAGAACAGGAAGAAATTAAGGACAACCTGAAACTTTTTTTAAAAACAGCTTAAACAGTATTGATCTGAGACTGAACTATAATTACACTACACAGGGTACCATTTAGAGATATATATGACTAGAAAAATGATCAGTCATCTATGAAGCCCCCACTCCATCTTCTTCAGGTGGGTGCTAAGAAATCTACTTGTCGATATATACCTAGTCCCATCTGTGTGAATAGAGAAATCTAAGTAAGTCCACCAAGGCATAGAAAGAACATATTGCCAAGCAAACAGCTGAAGCCACAGAGGGTAATTTCACAACACTTCCCAATTCAGCCTATCTGCGGACTCTGTGTTTGCTTGTTTTCAAAAAAATAGACTTCAAGGCCACACTGAAACTAAATTTTTAAAAATAAGGCTAAGAATAAGAAAGAAACAAATCCTACCATCTGCAATAACATGGGTGGAGCTGGAGGACATTATGCCATTATGCTCAGTGAAATAAGCCACGCGGAGAAAAAACAAATGCCAAATGATTTCCCTCATTTGTGGAGTATAACAATGAAGAATAACTGAAGGAACAAAACAGCAGAAGACTCAGAGACTCCAAGAATGAACTAGTGGTTACCAAAAGGGAGGGGTGTGGGATGGTGGGTGGTGAGGAAGGGAGAAGAGGATTGAGGGGTATTATATTTGGTACACATGGTGTGGGGGATCACGGGGAGAACAGTGTAGCACAGAGAAGGCACACAGTGAATCTGTGGCATCTTGCTGCACTGATGGACAGTGAATGCAATGGGGTGGGGACTTGATAATATGGGTAAATGTAGTAACCACATTGTTTTTTCATGTGAAACTTCATAAGAGTGTATATCAATCATACCTTAATAAAAAACTTCAAAAATAAAAATAAGGCTAAGAATGAATGAAGTCACTGAATTGAGTCAGAGCTAGAAGGGATTCCAATGATTACAAAGATGAGAAATGAGACCAATTAAGTTACACAGGTAGTTGGTTGCAAAGGCTAGAACTGAGGCTTCTAACCCCTAGAAGAGCAACAGGTATTTACTGAGTACCTAATATGTTAAGAAGAACTCTACTAGGCACTATGTACATCAAGATACTTCATATATATGTTCAAAAGCACTTAAAACATCAGATTTACATTCTAAGGAAACTTCTGCATTAGGACAACAGTGTCCACAACTCTAACAAACATGTTTTTAAAAAGCAAGTAGTGAAAAAAAGCTCCAGTAAAGAACCTGGAATTGCAAACAATTTACCCTTCTTGTCCTGATCATGAAAATTCACCTGCTGTTGTTCACCATTAAAAGATTAAGATTATCAAAAAACATCTCTACCCAAACTGTATGACCCAATAGTTTAAGGAAAAAAACAAGCCTTATTCCTGTTGGAAAAATGATCTGTTTTTGTCATACCAGTCTAAAGAAGGAGCTCTGTCAGGATTAGAGCACAGCCATCTGAGGACAAAAGTCTAGGCAGAAAGAGAAACGATACTGGAATCTGACAAAGACCCCTCAGGAATATTGTTATTCAGCTGTTTCAATGGCACCTTTCATCTAAGGATCTCAAATGATATTTACATTACCAAGAATAAGGATGGTTAAGCACCATGGCCCAATAAAGAAACATATCAACGTCCTAGGGGGAATTCAATACTTAATGTTCTGAAACTCAGCCCTCTGCTCTAAAAACAAAACCTAGTCTTATGTAATAGTAGTGTGGTATGATACAAAACACATAGTTGGTCTTGTCCTCAGTTCCCAGCACAGAGCTCCTAAAACCCTTGGCATTAAATTCCGTGACTGATAGGAGTATCTTTTGTTATTTTTAACAAGTCCTTTTCAGCCATACCTGAATTCATGCTAATGAGTGACTCTTGGTGGAACCCTAAATTGCTTCAGGATGGGAGCTGGTTACCAGAAGAAGCCACGTGATTGGGGGGTTGGCACTCTCAGGCCCCACCCCCAGGCTGGGGAAGGGAGAGAGGTTGGAGACTGACTTACACCAATGTCATGATTTAACCAATCATTCCTAAGTAACACAACCTCCACAAAAGCCCCTAAACAATGGAGCTTAGTATGCTTCCGGATAGGTGAACACACTGAGGTAGCGGGAAGGTGGTGTGCCTGGAGACATCCCCATAATTGCAAACCTGTAAACATGTTTTTCCCAAGTTCTGTGAGTCATCCCAGTGAATTATTAAACCTGAGGAAGGGGTCAGGTGAACCTCCAATTTATAGTGCAGTTGGATACAAGTACAGGTGGCCCAGGACTTGCAATTGGTATCTACCATGGAGGCAGTCTTGAGGAACTAAGCACTTTAACTAGGACCTGACAGTAACTCCAGGTACGTAGTATCAGAATTGAATTAAACTACTGGACACTGAGATGGTGTCACAGAACTGGACAACTGGTGGTGGTGTGGAAAAACCCACACACAAGTAATTAATTCCTAATTTATATTTGTAAAGCTTGAAGATACAAATGGATTTGTTGATATAATCTCCCAGCTTACCTTGCTGAGCATGTATAAATAGAAGACCCCCAAATTCAAGAAATGTTGTTAAAATAATTGTTACTAATAATAATTAGTATTAATTTTGTACCATCTTTGTGTCAAGCATTAAGCTTAGGATAAATTATTTCCAGTGTATGCAACTCTGAAAGGTAGATACTGCCCCCAATAGCAAATGAAAAAATTAAATCTCATTGTTTAATTTCCCATGACACACAGCAAGTGGCAGAGCTGACAATGACACCTAGTTCTGCCATACAAGCTCCTGCCTTCTACACTATGGCAACCTCTACTTTTTATATTGTAGTGTAAAATTATAAACTCTCTACCAATCCTTAAGGGTAACATATTCCAAATTATGCCCTTGAAAGACTAGTCTTAAGAGATGCTCTAGGGTAAAATAAAAATATAAATAAAATAAAAATGAAATTCCATGTATATATCTACTATTCCACTTTTCGACTTTATACATTTGTTTAAAAACCACCTTTTTAGCATTATATTCTCTTGCTGGTTGACAAACATTTCATTTTTTTCTTCCCCAGTTACTAAGGAGCTGAAGTCAACAAGATTTTTAATTACCAATATTAGCACTAAGGAATAAAATTCCTTGAGATTAGAAAATCTTAAAGAACTGGGAAAGACAAGAAAGATCATGTGTGGGTAAGTGGACACAGTATTCCGGATGTAATAAAACAGTACAAGAAAAGAGGGACTATTACTTCTTTTAATCTAGCACAATCTATCTATAAATGTTAATCAATATTAGCCTCTTTCCACAGCCACATCATACAACTACTTAGATTACGGTGGCTTTCAAATGAAAACAAACTACAGTTGATCCCTGCACAATGTGGGGGCTAGGGGTGTAAGAAATCTGCATATAGCTTTTGTCTCCCCAAAGACCTAATAGCCTACTGTTGACCAGAAGCCTTACTGATAATACAAACATTAAATACATATTTGTATGTTAGATGTATTATATACTGTAGTCTTACAATATAGTAAGCTAGAAAAAAAGAAAATGTTTTTTCCAAGTGTCAAAAATTTCAAAAAAAAATTCCAATATATTTATTGAAAAAAATCCACATATAGGTGGACCAACATAGTTCAAACAAGGGTCAATCTGTATTTTGGATTAGATCATTTCTGTTAAAAAGCAGGGCCTTACATTTCTATCACACCAATTTTGCTACTTTCATATTTCATCCTGTGTAGACTGCTTTGATTTTCTTTGATTGCAACATATTAGATAACCTTCCCATCACTAACAGAATTTTTGGTAAGCATGTGAATTATACCATTATTCAAGATCTAGATCCAACTAGCTTGACAAAAGCAGAACTTCAATCCTGTATAATCACACTGTGCTTTATGACAAAATAAGCAAGCAAACCAAATTTAGAACAAACCGGGAAAAGGTATTTGCAACACATATTGTAACAGGCTGATTTCAAAACATAAACGGATCCTACAAATTCATAAAGAAAAAAAACAATCAATTAACAAAAAAAGAACCAAAGTCTTTTCAATGGCTGGTTCATAGAAAATTAAAGACAAATGTTTCTATAGATAAAAAGATCTCCAACCTCACTCATAAAGAGCAAAGTAAATTAAATCTATAATGTGATACCATCAGACCTATTAGAGCAGCAAAGATCAAAATATTTGATAACACATCCAATTTTAAGGAGTGTGAGGAAACAAGTACTCTCATAGATTGCTGATGGGAATGCAAAATGATTTCAACTCTTCAGAGCTCAATTTGGAAATATCTCTAAAAATTTAATTACACCTACCTCTTCTTTGGAGCATGAATATTCACTGAAGCATTATTTGCAATAGAAAAGTACTGTTTTGTCACCCCAACAGCCATTTCCCCCTCCTTCCTCATTCATCTGAACTAACATTTTGTTCAGGTGGGTAACATGCCCAAGGCCAAGAGATGACTTGTGATAACTTGAAGCCAACTATGGCAGTCATATTCTCTTGTCAGGTAATCACTTTCCCAGATATGCCTGGGGTCAGGGACAGCCACATGACCCCCAGTGAAATGTAAAGAGACGGGCGCTTACAGTTCCTCAACAGTGGCTTGCTGACCCAAAGCATCAGCATCATGTGGGAGCATGTCAGAAATACAAACTCTCAGTGTAGATTTCAGAATCTGTCAGTGGATCCCAAGAATTTGCACTTGAACAAGCTCCCTTGGTCAGTCTTACACACACTACAGTTCATGCAACACTGATCAGGAGACCAGGGAATTATTTTCTTCCCATTTAAAATGACAAAGCCTTCCCAATAGAAAAAATATTTTGCCCTTCATTTCTTTTCTTCAAATTCGGTTGACTGTGCAGCTTAGAGCTGAAGCAGCCATCCTAGAACCATGAGGCTACTTGGGGAAACTGAAAAGCCAACATACTGAGAATAACAGAGTTAAGGAGGGAAAAAATCTGGGAAATACTACCCAGTTACTGAACTAGCCCTTAATTACCTCCTTGCTTCTGTTTATGTGAGACAATTTCAGTCTTTACTGTTTAAGTCACTGTTAGATATTCTGTTACTGTCATTTACAATTGAATATATCCTAAGTGATACAACTTTATATCTATCCCTGGAAAATAATGGAACTTAAAATTAGTGGAAATAAATACCAGATTGAGGCCAAGATTTGTTAGTGGTCTCAGACTAGTACTAGTTGTCTTTATGTTGTGTGGGCTCATGGGAAACCCAAGAAATAAAACTATGCCAAATATATGACACAGAACACTCTACAGCTGATAAAAAAAAAAGACACAAATTTATAAGTAGTAATTTATTTTATGAGGAAAAAAAAGCAAGGTGTGGAACTGTTTGCATAGTAAACCTCCATTTAAATTTTTAGAAGGTGGGATATAAATAAATACAGAACACACACACACACATGTAAAATATCTGAAAGGATATACACACAAAAATAATCGTGAAAATGGTTGTTTCTAAGATGAAGAACAGGGGGCTGAGCATCAGAGATTAAAGGGAAATTATTTTCATTTCTCAACACTGTGTATTCCTATTCAAAAAATGTTTAAAATTAAAATATAAAATCATTTTAGACTTAAATTATGCAAAAGAGAATTGGAAAGAGTCAGTCAAAGCTGATATTTCTAAAAAATCCCTAAAAAGTATTGTTTGACTACTAGCACCTGACACAGTACCCTCATTGTCTATAATCGATGCTCAAATATCTGTGACTAGAACTGCTATGGGATCAATCCCATACACTGCCACTTATGGAATTAAGAATATAAAAACAAAGAAACTTCACACACTTGAACCTCTCTTCACAATCAAGGTTGGCCAAATAATTGCTTACCTCTGTTTTCTGTTTCCCACAATATTTAACCACTATCCTAACTTTCAGAAAGGAAAGTTCAGCTCACAATAGCTCTCTCTGGGATTTCCACATACCCCCAGAGCATTAAGACAACCAGTAGTCTGAGACCACTAACAAGTTTTAGTCCCAAACAGCTACTTCAGTTCTACTAGAATGTACGCCCTACTCAGGCAGAAATTTTTATCAATTTTATCTCCAGCAACTACAGTAGAGCCAAACATATATGAAAGTACTCAGTAAATATTTTTAAGTAAACAAATGAAGAAAAAGAGGTCTTCCATAAATGCCAACACTGAGTAATTTAAATCTAACTAGAACTTTGGATTTTTTTTGCACAAGCTCATCTGCTTGAGGTTGCAACACAGACTGGATACTTCTACTAAAAAATAGGCAGGAGGGTGAGGAGGGTTTCATAAGCACCTTTGGCAGCCCAAATATTGGTATTTAAAAAATCTTTAAGCCACAAAAAGGGAAGAAGTTCTGAACAGACACTTCTCCAAAGAAATTCAGATGGCCAACAGGCATATGCAAAGATGTTCCACATCGCTAATTATCAGGGAAATGCAAATTAAAACCACAATGAGGTATCACCTCACACCAGAAAGGATGGCCAACAATAAAAAGACTAGGAACAACAAATGCTGGCGATGCGGAGAAAAGGGAACCCTCCTACACTGCTGGTGAGAATGTAAATTAGTTCAATCATTGTGGAAAGCAATAAGGAGGTTCCTCAAAAAACTAAAAATAGAAATACCATTTGACCAAGGAATTCCACTCCTAGGAATTTACCCTAAGAATGCAGGAGCCCAGTTTCAAAAAGACATATGCACCCCTATGTTTATCACAGCACTATTTACAATAGCCAAGAAATGGAAGCAACCTAAGTGTCCGTAAGTAGACAAATGGATAAAGAAGATGTGGTACATATGCACAATGGAATACTATGCACCCATAAGAAGAAAACAAATCCTACCATTTGCAACAGAATGGATGGAGCTAGACGGTATTATGTTCAGTAAAATAAGCCAAGCAGAGAAAGACAAGTATCAAATGATTTTACTCATCTGCAGAGTATAAGAACAAAGAACAAACTGAAGGAACAAAACACAAGCAGACTCACAGAATCCAAAAATGGACTAACAGTTACCAAAGGAAAAGGGACTGGGGAGGATGGGTGGGAAGGGAGGGATAAGGGGGAAAAAGGGACATTACTATTAGCACACATAATGTGAGGGGGAGCATGGAAAAGGCAGTATAACACAGACAAGTAATGATTCTATAGCATCTTACTACTCTGATGGACAGTGACTGTAATGGGATATGTGGGGGGGACTTGATAATGGGGGGAGTCTAGTAACCATAATGTTGCTCATGTAATTGTACATTAATGATTCCAAAATAAAAAAATTAAAAAATGAAAAGAAATACCATTTGACCCAGGAATTCCACTCCTAGGAATTTACCCAAAGAAAATAACTTCCCAGATTCAAAAAGACATATGCACCCCTATGTTTTATCATAGCACTATTTACAATAGCGAAGATACGGAAGCGACCTAAGTGTCCAACAGTAGATGAATGGATAAATATGTGATACATAAACACAATGGAGTATTATTCAGTCATAAGAAGAAAATATATCCCACCATTTGCAACAACATGGATGGAGCTAGAGCGTATTATGCTCAGTGAAACAAGCCAGGCATTGAAAGACAAATGCCAAATGATTCCACTCATTTGCGGGGTATAACAACAAAGCAAAACTGAAGGAACAAAACAGCAGCAGACTCAGAGACACCAAGAAGGTACTAGCAGTTACCAAAGGGGAGGGGTAGAGGGAGGCTGGTGGGAAAGGAGAGAGAAGGGGATTACTGGGCATTATAATTACCACACAGGATATAGGCAGGTCACAGAGAAAGCAGTATAGCAAGGAGAAGACAAGTAATGACTCTGTAGCATCTTACTACACTGATGGACAGTGATTGCAATGGGATTGGGGGGGACTTGATAATATGAGTGAACGCTGAAACTACAAAGTTACACATGTAAAACCTTCATAAGATTGTATATAGATACATACATCTTAATTTAAAAGAAAGAGAAAAAAATGTCTTTAAGCTACCTAACTTTTGAAAGAAGAGCAGCTGACAACCAATTGGTTCCTAGTCAATCCTCACATTTCTTTTTTCAAAGCAACTGGTAAGAATGATTTAAGAACCCTGAAGCCATGAAACAAAAATTTAGGAACTAAGATTCAGTAATTTAGGATATCCTAAAAAATCTCAAAGAAC